ACACCCGCCTCATGTACTATTGATCCTACGTACACCTTGTCCTTTAGCCTGGAATTAATGAGCTTGTAAAACGCAAGACGGTTTTTTTGATTCTAAGATCTTTTTCTCAACCGAGGCATTGTATTTTTTAACCGCTTGATAAACCTATCATTACATGCCTTATATGATGCCCAGTTCTGAGGGTTACCCGTTGTGGTGGCAGACCTCCAAGCTCTAGCGCGGCGTCGATCTAATGAAACCAGGTATTGAGGAAGCATTAAGTTGGACGGCGAAATTTTACGAACAGGCGTAAACAGCAGTAGAGATTGATTAATAATTTCGAGGAGCATCTCATATTTATCATTGACCGTGTCAACGGTGGAAAGAGAGCCTATCCAATCGAATATCACTAAGAAACGAAAAAACGGAATCAAAGTCAGTACTTTTATAATCTAGGCAATAAGTGAGCGAGCGACGGACATGCCGACTTTGTAGTGCAGCACTCAAAGAACAATGATCGCTAGTTCCGATAGGTGCGTGTATGGCTACATCCGATATAAGACTGGGATCATTACATAGGATAAGGTCTAAAGTGTTTCCTTGGCGAGTGGGGCTCTTTACTAGTTGTAGGTAACCGTAGTTTGAGCATAAGTCAAGAAAAGACTTGGACATGGTAGAGGAACAGGTCGGGTTGGAGGCCCACTCAATGTCAGGCAAGTTGAAATCGCCCACAAGAGCGCAAGAGTACTCGCAAGCGGTGAGGTCACCTATACATTTGAGCAGTTTGCTGAAGGACTCTCCAAGACAACTAGGACTACGATATACTAAAATCAATCTGACGGGAGGAGAGCCTAAAGGAATTAAATCACAAGCAAGAATTTCATATGAGTTGGGAACTGACTCAGAGAAAACAATAGTGTATTGTAATTCCTTAGACAACAGTATTCCACCCTTCCTACGCGAGCGATCGCATCTGATGATACTATAAAAGTCACAAATTTCGCCCAGCAGTGGGGCGATGTCGTTAGATTGCTTAAGCCAAGTCTCGGTAATTGCCGCTATAGAAAAGGAAGATCTGATAAGATGAAACTTTACAGCAGCTGCATTTTTTAGTAGTGATCGGACATTCGCTAAGGTGAAAGATAGATTTCGGACGCCCCTCTTCTTCCGGGGAGGCTTTAACTGTTTCCCGACGCACGCACTGGAACATTTGCATAGGACATGGGGGGATCGGCGGCACTATGATGACTGGATGAACTTTGCAATGAAACATTGTGAGCTGACACTTCTTTTGGAGGAGCACTTTGGTGAGGAGAAGTTATGTTGGCCCGCCGCTGGACTCGCTCTTCCCACGTCAAAGAAGGCCTGACAAAGACACCTTTAACTGGGAAGAAGCGAAGCCGTGGCGCCCGCTTAAGTAGTAATGACTGGAATTTCCTAGTAGGAAGAACTATCTTGAGTAAACGAGGAACGCCATGACGGGGACGTCCCATTCTATAACAAGTCACGGGCATACATTCTATATCAAGAAAGCAGAACAATTTCTTCACACAATCAATATCGTAGTTTAGACGATGGATAACATTAGTATCAATAGGACTCAGCAACGCCACTTACTACGACTGATCTGGCACGCTCACATTCTTCATGAGGATCAAAAGCCTTATTAGCATTCGAATCAATAGGTTGAAGTGAAGGATTACAAGATTGAGAAAGAGTACTAGAATTAGGAACAGCAAGGTTACCTTTCAAGGAGGCTATTTCATTTTTCAGCTTGTCATTTTCAGCTACAAGCATTAAGTCCCTCTTCCTCAATAGATCTAACTCACGATCCTTCTGCAAAATCTTATCTAGCAAATGTCCTATGATCGTCTTGAGATGAGCGGGAACGGCCGGGTCCGAATTCATCAAATTGATCGCATCCCGCAGCCCATGATCATCGACACAGCTATCCAACGGCGAGGAGTCCACATTTATTCGCGTTCTCTTGGTTCCCTGAACAGTAGATCCAACAAGGGGGGTGTTCATGATCGATACGTAAGCGGTGAGGACCTAATAAGGTGGCAGTTACGGAGAAAGAGCGGCTCCTGCCACTAGAAGCCTTGCCAACAAAGAGAAATTGATCGCGACTAGCGGATATCGGGGATCAAAGCGCAACTCAGCCTTGTCGATCGATCGGCGAAAGACGGCAATAAAAAGTAACAGGAAAAAATAGACCTTTTCTGGTGGCTACGAGTAATATCAGAGAAGTAAAGCGAGCCCCAGCCACAAGGGCGACCACTGAATAGTCGAATTCGAATAGAGAATAGTAGTAATAGGCGAAAGAAGCGATGTATTTCCAATTAGGGGTAGCAGGGCGCGTATGCCGCCGCACGCGGTGAGAGCCAGGACGAGAAGGCACACTTGCATGTGATAGCTTGTACTACAGTACTTTTCAAAAACATGTGGACAGCAATTTCCAAAAAACGTGAGGACACCAAGAAAGTCCCAGCTAGGGTGCATATTACGTGTTTGCTACCTACCTTACTGAACTTTTTGAAGTGCACTCACCAGTTCATGAATGATCCCATCCATTTGTGCATCGTTTGTGCATTGAAGCTACAGCCTGCTGTCAGAAAACATTATCAGCTATCACATTTCTTTGGAGAAGTATGACAATATCTACTATTCCAAAATTATAAAGGCAGCATAGGTAAGAGAATTCCCGAAGTAAAAACCCATCGTTTTGCAGTTCATTCGCAATGGCGTCGACAAATTTTGTGGTATCATACAACCTCTTCGATATGTCTGGACGATTCACGCTAACTACCGAGGAACAGTTTCGTGAAAGGGTGAAGTAGGTCATCCATCTCACTCCATAGGTCCATGACCCTGGCTGTTCTATAGCTCCGTCGACAACTCTATGAGTGAACCAACTCCCATCGAAACAAAAGGGTCAAAGCATTCTAAGGCACTGTTTTCGATGACCCCGCGTCACTTTCATTAGATTTCCTGCAATGGATGGCAGCGAGTTCTGTATAAAGATGAGCGCTTTTCGACCGTCTCATCAAGGGATTGAGCACATGATCAGCACCAGCAATAGCATACTTTGCATCAGAGTATGCACGCGTTGAGCGTATGTCAACCCCATTGTCTAGGAAATATGGATATTGATCTAGCGTGCGCCAGCGTCCATAAGTGGAGAGTATGGGAAGTAGGATTATAGCAGTGGAGTATAGCAGACTGTATGATAACAGAAGAAGAAGTTGTAGCTGTGAAGTTGTAGCTTGTGCAACGGCACCGTGCAAGTGTACCACACATTGGGATGACATGATTCCATGCTTAGCAGTCGTATGGTGCGGTTGCACTAGCCTCAATCTCACGACATCTTATTCAGCAGTCTGCTACCCTCCCACTGCACCAGCACTCCCGATGCTGGCGTACGCGTGATGGCATACACTCAAAAGCTCAACGTTGGCGTAGGTTGACTCGAAGCGTGAACACAGACTCACCTTAGTTTATCAGTGTTCCGGAAGGAAACATTCCGGAATGTGGAATTATGCAGCCTTTCATGTCTGTCTTGTATATCAACTGTTGGGACAAGCAGAAACAACATAATGTTCGGTTGTTTAGTGCACCTTAGTTCAGAAACCTCACCAGCGTCTCTTGAACTCCCCTCAATTCTACAATATTTTATTAGGTTGTCCCAGAAGTTCGTGACATTTTTGAATTTTTTTTCGAGTCAAGTTTATTCCAGTGAGAAGCAATTTTGATCAACAATATATATATTACCTTCATCGGCAACTTGTTGCCAACCACCAAGCAAAGAGTGGTTGCCTTGCTTCCAGAAGCTTTTTAGTTCTGTGCCAGAAAGGCAGCTGGGTCATTTTTGAGGTACTATCAAAAATCGTATTTTTTTACCAAGAAGATGGCCGCTGTGGGATTAGTTTAGATGGCGATCGGAAAGAGCTAAGTCAGGGCTACACGAAGACTGTGGTGGAATTCCCCAGCTAAGCTTCGGGATCTCGAGCAGTGTCATTTTCCAAATGTGTGACCCTGAGCTGTGGTGGAGTAGGCAAACATTGCTCGGTTGTGGGACCAAATTATGAGAAATTTTATCATCACTTTGCACTTGAACCACAGTAGGACTCGCTAGTTATCACAACGTTAACGGGAAGGAACCCCATGCGGTAAATTCCATGAATGGTTCAAAACACGCACAGTATCACCTTCCCACTGTATTGATGGGATTGCACGACCGGTTGTGCCCTTACGAGGATCTAGCCACTGGCCTTCCTTGCCAGCATTCGGATCCGTACAGTGTCACGGGTCGAACCATGGTCCGGCATATCTTTGACTTGGGCGAAGAGGCATGCGCTTATCACATAGCACGCCAGTGATCTCTCTCCATCTCATGCCGCGTTGACTCTCATTCGTATCTCATCATCGACACCTCCTGTACTCTGCAAGCGAGACCCTAGGTACCTAAAAGACATTGTTTTCGGTAAGTCTTCGCCTTCCACTTTGATCGTGCCTTCGCTAGGGTCAGTTTTCGAAGTATTCCGTCTCCCTGATGTTAAGGCAAAGGCCATACTGTTGGTTCCGCCCTTGAGGAGAACGCCAGGGCGGTCGAGCTAGCGCTTTGGGAGGGTAAAAACGCCGCGTTTCGACCTTTGGCGGAAAGCAAAAAATGCGTATCGATCAGATACCTGAGAATCGCCAAGGTTGCTGGAGTGTCGGCGACAAGTGATACATATCGATCGGAGAATCGCCAACCGCTCTTCTAGTCTAGAGAATGGCAACATTTTGCGTTTTTTTCGATTGTTCTGCTTTGTTTATCAATGTGTTCACTATTTTCGGCCCTTATTTTCCCTCATAGCTATGCACAGCAACAACACTAGAGCTTTCAAGATTATCGATCGACACTAGCACCACAGTACTGAATGTTTGTCTTTCTTCTCAGTTTCAGCCCATTCATATTGCTTGTTGCTGCTTCTGAATTCTACACATTGCCATCTATGAGTGACTCCCCCAGCTTTTTTGCCGAAATCTACTATTTTGAGTGCAGGATGGAAAAAGTATTGAGCTATGAAGCTATGGATTTGCTCTCGTTGTTTTGCTTGCATTTCGTAGTTCTGGTCCAAAAACGTTTCAACAAATAACGTGTTCAAGTCAGTCATGTATTTTTCAACTTCTACTAGAGTTAATCTTCCGTTCTTCTCTAAGTAGCTATTGAGGCCCTTCTCTTCAAATTAAGAGGGACTTTTACGCCTTTTACTGATTGTTTCATATGTATTGTGGTAAGAATTAAAGGCATCATTGCCATCTGCTTCCTTGTTGCTTAGTTTAATGCTATCAGAGTTGAGTAGTGCTGCCACTTGTTTTCTTTTTATATGGTGATGATTTCAGCCTGCTTCATCGACTCAGAAGGTAACTTAATGCTTGTAATTGACGCTGCAATTCCTCCCTACTGACGTCCGCTAGGAGAACATCGTCAGCATAGAGCAAAGTCCATGGAGCAGCGTGTTGCAGATCTCGTGTGAGTGTGTCCATGATGAGGATAAACAGCAATGGCGAGAGGGCCGAACCTTGGTGAACTCCAACTTTTATTGGAAAGCTCTTGGATAAACCCGCAGCACATCGGACTCGACTGGTGGTGTTCATATACATCATTTGAATCCAGCTAGAAGATCTTCATGGTGTGCGGCAAGCAAGCGTATAGGGCGGTAATTAGAGCACTCGCCGATCTCTCTTGTTCTTGAAGATTGGCACAGTAATGCTCGTAGCCCATTCACTGGGTGCCCGGCCTGAATCAACAATTGCATTTATGAACTGTGTGAGCCACGGAATACCACTCTCTCGCATCTCCTTCATTTTCCAGACTCTGCCGGTATGTTGTCTGGCCCTGGCGCTTTTTGGTTCTTCATGCTGTCGATCGCCTTGGTAACCTCTTCGACTGTGATGCGTTGCACTGGACCGGCGGTTGGCGGACCTTCTGGAATTGGCGGGTGTGCGAACTCCACGTTGGAAATCTCGTTAAAATGTTCCCACCAGCGATGCAGTATCTTTCGTCTACTATGCAGCCGCTCTCCATTGGAATCCTTCACACACATGTAGTGCTCAACGTCCTTCGCTGCTTGGGCCCGTGTTTTCGCCAGTCTGTAGATGTTTTTCTCACCTTCCTTGGTACCCAGTTGCTCGTATAGGCCTCGGAAATGTTCTGCTTTGACTACGGCTACAGACCTCTTTGCCTCTCTTCTAGCGGTGGTATACTTCCTCCAGTTCTCGGCAGTTTTATGCGTAAAAAGGTTTTGCAGCCTTCTTTTCCATCACTTTCTGCTTCACTTCTTCCGTCCACAGCCACGTTTGTTTGTCAATACGTCGACCGGGTTTCGTAATTCCTAAAGCAGATTTAGCAGCAGTCGTAACGGATCTGCTAAACGTTGTCCACAAGTCCTCGACCGGCCTGCCATCGGCCGGAGGCTAGTGCAATAGGTGGGCAGAAAAGTCAAACAGACTTCGCGTTGGTCTGCACGCGTGGGCAATTGTCGCTTCCTGTCCCCACAGTTTCCAAAACCTGTTCGCTCTGGTCCCATACACCACCCGGGGACGTTTCTACAAATGGTCACCTTTACATCCACAATGAACATTTTGTGTTGTGGTAGAAGGCAGTCTGACGGGATGACCATTGCATCACTGATGGAACAAAGATCTCGCCTGCAGACCAACGCGAAGTCTGCTTGACTTTTCTGCCCACGATTGCATTTGTAACTAGGTGACTTACACACTTCTCGAAGAATGTGTTGCTAAAGCAAGATCATTGGCCTCAGCGAATTCTAGACTACGCCGTCCGTCTTCGTTTCGTATCCGTATCTGTTGTTGCCATGGCAGTAGTAACCATTCTGAGCGCTACCAACGTGGCCATTTAGGTCGCCACAAAGCAGGATTGCTTCGCTCTCGGGGACTGCTGCAATGTGATCCTGTAGTTCAGTCCAGAACTGTTCCTTTTCTACATCGTCACAACCGCTTTGTGGGGCGTAGGCTGAGAACACAAAAAGTCGGCGGGTTGGCCACGTCGATTACAGCGGAGATGAGTCTAGCTGGAACGTCTT